CACCACCACCACCACCATCACCACCACCACCACCACCACCATCACCACCACCACCATCACCACCAACACCACCAACACCACCATCACCACCACCAACACCACCATCACCACCACCACCACCATCACCACCACCACCACCACCATCACCACCACCACCATCACCACCACCACCATCACCACCACCATCACCACCACCATCACCACCACCACCACCATCACCACCACCACCACCACCATCACCACCACCACCATCACCACCATCACCACCACCACCATCACCACCACCATCACCACCATCACCACCACCACCACCACCATCACCACCACCACCATCACCACCATCACCACCACCACCACCACCATCACCACCACCACCATCACCACCATCACCACCACCACCACCACCATCACCACCACCATCACCACCACCACCACCACCACCATCACCACCACCACCATCACCACCACCACCATCACCACCACCACCACCACCATCACCACCACCACCACCACCATCACCACCACCACCATCACCACCACCACCACCACCATCACCACCACCACCATCACCACCACCACCATCACCACCACCATCACCACCACCACCATCACCACCATCACCATCACCACCACCATCACCACCATCACCACCATCACCACCACCACCACCACCATCACCACCACCACCATCACCACCACCATCACCACCACCACCACCATCACCACAACCACCACCACCACCATCACCACCACCACCACCATCACCACCACCATCACCACCACCACCACCACCATCACCACCACCACCACCACCATCACCACCACCACCATCACCACCAACACCACCAACACCATCACCACCACCATCACCACCATCACCACCACCACCACCACCATCACCACCACCACCATCACCACCACCATCACCACCACCACCACCACCACAAGTACCGGACTGTAGATTCAGCTCCTCCAGCTTCTGCCCACGCTCCACCGCCCGGACGATGTTACTCCGCATCACGTCCACCACCTCGTCCACCCGGCCCTGCACCCTGAACCCCATCGTCATCATCAGCATCATCAGTGTCATCAGTGTCATCATCAGCAGCAGCAGCGTCATCAGCAGCAGCATCATCATCAACAGCAGCACCATCATCATCATCATCACCACCACCATCATCATCATCAGCAGCAGCATCATCATCAGCAGCAACATCATCAGCAGCATAGTCATCAGCAGCAACAACATCAACATCACCATCACCACCACCATTATCAACACCACTATCAACACCATCACTACCATCATCATCACCACCATCACAACCATCAACACCACCAACACCTATCAACACCACCACCAATCAACACCATCATCATCAGCACCACCACCACCACCAACAACATCAGCATCGTCAACATCAGGATAGGATGGTGGTGACAGTGATGATGGTAGTGATGGCGGTGATGGTAGTGATGATGGTGATGGCGGTGATGATGGTGATGGCGGTGATGACGGTGATGGTAGTGATGATGGTGATGATGGTGATTCTGGTGATAGTGATGATGGTGATGATGGTGATGTTGCTGATGATGGTGGTGATGATTGTAGTGATGGTGGTAATGATTGTAGTGATGGTGATGTGGTGATGGTAGTGATGGTGGTGATGGTGGTGATGGGGATGACGGTGATGGTAGTGATGTTGGTGATGGTAGTGATGATTGTAGTGATGATGGTGATGGTAGTGATGATGGTGATGTTGCTGATGATGGTGATAGTGATGGTAGTGATGGGGATGATGGTGATAGTGATGGCAGTGATGATTGTAGTGATGATGGTGATGGTAATGATGGTAGTGATGACGGTGATGTTGTTGATGATGTTGGTGATGGTAATGATGATGGTAGTGATGATGGTGATGATGCTGATCATGTTGGTGATGGTGGTGATGGGGATGATGGTAGTGATGTTGATGATGGTAGTGATGGTGATGATGGTGATGTTGCTGATGATGATGGTGGTGATGTTGCTGATGATGGTGGTGATGGTTGTGATGGTAGTGATCATGGTGATGGTAGTGATGGTAGTGATGATGGTGATGTTGCTGATGATGGTGATAGTGATGGTAGTGATGGGGATGATGGTGATAGTGATGGCAGTGATGATTGTAGTGATGACGGTGATGGTAATGATGGCAGTGATGACGGTGATGTTGTTGATGATGTTGGTGATGGTAATGATGATGGTAGTGATGATGGTGATGATGCTGATCATGTTGATGATGGTAGTGATGGTGATGATGGTGATGTTGCTGATGATGTTGGTGATGGTAGTGATGATGGTGATGGTAGTGATGGTAGTGATGATGTTGGTGATGGTAGTGATGATTGTAGTGATGGTGATGTGGTGATGGTAGTGATGGTAGTGATAACGGTGATGATGCTGATGATGGTGATAGTGATGGTGGTGATGGTGGTGATGGGGATGACGCCACTCACTGTGTGATGGCATCGCTCCTCTGTGGCAGGCGCGGTATTGTGGGGCCAGTCCTGACGCAGACAGAGAGAGATCAGAGTACCAGGCGAGGTAGTCAACATCTCACAGGGTCTGGGATCGAACCCACAACCTCCTGTATACCAGGCGAGGTAGTCAACATCTCACAGGGTCTGGGATCGAACCCACGACCTCCTGTAGACCAGGCGAGGTAGTCAACATCTCACAGGGTCCAGGATCGAACCCACGACCTCCTGTATACCAGGCGAGGTAGTCAACATCTCGCAGGGTCCGGGATCGAACCCACGACCTCCTGTATACCAGGCGAGGTAGTCAATATCTCTCAGGGTCCATAATCGAACCCACGACCTCCTGCGTACCAGGCGAGGTAGTCAACATCTCACAGGGTCCAGGATCGAACCCACAACCTCCTGTAGTCCAGGCGAGGTAGTCAACATCTCGCAGGGTCCGGGATCGAACCCACGACCTCCTGCGTACCAGGCGAGGTAGTTATCATCTCGCAGGGTCCGGGATCGAACACACGACCTCCTGCGTACCAGGCGAGGTAGTCAACATCTCACAGGGTCTGGGATCGAACCCACGACCTCCTGTATACCAGGCGAGGTAGTCAACATCTCGCAGGGTCCGGGATCGAACCCACAACCTCCTGTATACCAGGCGAGGTAGTCAACATCTCACAGGGTCCGGGATTGAACCCACGACCTCCTGCGTACCAGGCAAGGTAGTCAACATCTCGCAGGGTCTGGGATCGAACCCACGACCTCCTGCGTACCAGGCGAGGTAGTCAACATCTCACAGAGTCCGGGATCGAACCCATGAACTCCTGCGTACCAGGCGAGGTAGTAATCATCTCACAAGGTCCGAGATTGTGCCCACGACCTCCTGTGGACCAGGAGAGGTAGTCAACATCTCTCAGGGTCCGGGATTGAACCCATGACCTCCTGCGTACCGGGCGAGGCAGTCAACATCTCACAGGGTCCGGGATTGAACCCACGACCTCCTGTAGACCAGGCGAGGTAGTTAACATCTCGCAGGGTCGGGGATCGAACCCATGACCTCCTGCGTACCAGCCGAGGTAGTCAACATCAGACAGTGTCTGGGATCGAACCCACGACCTCCTGTAGGCCAGGCGAGGTAGTCAACATCTCTCAGGGTCCGGGATCGAACCCACGACTTCCTGTATACCAGGCGAGGTAGTCAACATCTCACAGGGTCCGGGATCGAACCCACGATTTCCTGCGTACCGGGCGAGCTAGTCAACATCTCTCAGGGTCCGGGATCAAACCCACGACCTCCTGTAGACCAGACGAGGTAGTTAACATCTCACAGGGTCCAGGATCGAACCCACGACCTCCTGCGTACCAGGCGAGGTAGTCAACATCTCACAGGGTCCGAGATTGTGCCCACGACCTCCTGTAGACCAGGCGAGGTAGTCAACATCTCTCAGGGTCCGAGATCGAACCCACGACCTCCTGCGTACCAGGCGAGGTAGTCAACATCTCTAAGGGTCTGGAATCGAACCCACAACCTCCTGTAGACCAGGCGAGGTAGTCAACATCTCTCAGGGTCCGGGATCGAACCCACAACCTCCTGTAGACCAGGCGAGGTAGTCAACATCTCACAGGGTCCGGGATCGAACCCACGACCTCCTGTAGACCAGGAGAGGTAGTCAACATCTCTCAGGGTCCGGGATCGAACCCACAACCTCCTGTAGACCAGGCGAGGTAGTCAACATCTCACAGGGTCCGGGATCGAACCCACGACCTCCTGTAGATCAGGAGAGGTAGTCAACATCTCTCAGGGTCCGGGATCGAACCCACGACCTCCTGTATACCAGGCGAGGTAGTTAACATCTCATCAGGGTCGGGGTCGAACCCACGACCTCCTGCGTACCAGGCAAGGTAGTCAACATCTCACAGGGTCCGGGATCGAACCCACGACTTCCTGCGTACCAGGCGAGGTAGTCAACATCTCACAGGGTCCGGGATTGAACCCACGACCTCCTGTAGACCAGGAGAGGTGGTCAACATCTCACAGGGTCCGGGATCGAACCCACGACTTCCTGCGTACCAGGCGAGGTAGTCAACATCTCACAGGGTCCGGGATCGAACCTACGACTTCCTGCGTACCAGGCGAGGCAGTCAACATCTCTCAGGGTCCGGGATTGAACCCACGACCTCCTGTACACCAGGCGAGGTAGTCAACATCACACAGTGACCGGGATCGAACCCACGACTTCCTGCGTACCAGGCGAGGTAGTCAACATCACACAGAGTCCGGGATCGAACCCACGACCTCCTGTAGACCAGGCGAGGCAGTCAACATCTCACAGGGTCCGGGATCGAACCCACGACCTCCTGTGGACCAGGCGAGGTAGTCAACATCTCTCAGGGTCCACGATCGAACCCACGACCTCCTGCGTACCAGGCGAGCTAGTCAACATCTCTCAGGGTTCGGGATCGAACCAACGACCTCCTGCGTACCGGGCGAGGCAGTCAACATCTCACAGAGAAGACTCACAGGAAGAAGTCTTCGCCCTCCGAGTCATCGTCCGCAAGGAGATTTCTCTGGAAAGACGAGAAATAAAAAAGAAAGACGTTGAGCTGCCTGCAACGTCGTTTTGCCACGTGTGAGGCACTCCGCAGAGACTCACAGAGACTCACAGATACCCACAGATACTCACAGAGAGTGACAGAGACTCACAGAGTCACAGATACCCACAGATACTCACAGAGACCCACAGAGACTCACAGAGACCCACAGATACTCACAGAGACCCACAGAGAGTCACAGACACTCACAGATACTCACAGAGACCCACAGAGACTCAGAGAGACCCACAGAGATGCACAGAGACCCACAGAGACGTATATATACCCACAGATACTCACAGAGACTCACAGAGAGTCACAGACACTCACAGAGAGTCATAGACACTCACAGAGACCCACAGAGACTCACAGAGACCCACAGATACTCACAGAGAGTCACAGAGAGTCATAGACACCCACAGATACTCACAGAGAGTCACAGAGAGTCATAGACACCCACAGATACTCACAGAGACCCACAGAGACTCATAGACACCCACAGATACCCACAGAGACTCACAGAGACCCACAGAGAGTCACAGACACTCACAGAGACCCACAGAGACTCACAGAGACCCACAGAGACGCACAGACACATAGAGACCCACAGATACTCACAGAGAGTCACAGAGAGTCATAGACACCCACATATACTCACAGAGAGTCACAGAGAGTCATAGACACCCACAGATACTCACAGAGACCCACAGAGACTCATAGATACCCACAGATACTCACAGAGACTCACAGAGAGTCACAGATACCCACAGATACTCACAGAGACCAACAGAGACTCATAGACACCCACAGATACTCACAGAGACCCACAGAGACTCACAGAGAGTCATAGACACCCACAGATACTCACAGAGACCCACAGAGACTCATAGACACCCACAGAGACTCACAGAGACTCACAGAGAGTCACAGATACCCACAGATACTCACAGAGAGTCACAGATACCCACAGATACTCACAGAGACTCACAGAGACCCACAGAGACTCACAGACAGCCACAGATACTCACAAAGACCCACAGAGACTCAAAGACACCCACAGATACTCACAAAGACCCACAGAGAGCCACAGAGACCCACAGAGACGCACAGAGACTTAGAGACCCACCGAGACCCACAGATACTCACAGAGACCCACAGAGACTCATAGACACCCACAGATACTCACAGAAAGTCACAGATACCCACAGATACCCACAGATACTCACAGAGACCCACAGAGACTCACAGAGACCCACAGAGATGCACAGAGGCTTAGAGACCCACAGAGACTCACAGAGAGTCACAGAGACTCACAGAGACTCACAAAGACTCGCAGAGAGTAATCGATACCCACAGATACTCACAGAGACCCACAGAGACTCAGACACCCACAGAGACTCATAGACACCCACAGAGACTCACAGAGGCTTAGAGACCCACAGAGACCTACAGATCCTCACAGAGACCCACAGAGACTCACAGAGACCCACAGAGACTCACAGAGAGCCTCAGAGAGGCACATAGACTCACAGAGACCCACAGAGACTCACAGAGACTCACAGAGACCCACAGAGACTCATAGACACCCACAGAGACTCACAGAGGCTAAGAGACCCACAGAGACCTACAGATACAGAGACTCACAGAGAGTCATCGATACCCACAGATAATCACAGAGATCCACAGAGACTCATAGAGGCTTAGAGACCCACAAAGACTCACAGAGACTCACAGAGAGTCATAGATACCCACAGAGACTCACAGATACTCACAGAGACCCACAGAAACCCACAGAGACTCATAGACACCCACAGAGACTCACAGAGGCTTAGAGACCCACAGAGACTTACAGAGACTCACAGGGACTCACAGAGACCCACAGAACTCATAGACACCCATAGACACCCGCAGAGACCCACATAGACTCATAGACACCAACAGAGACTCACAGAGGCTTAGAGACCAACAGAGACGCACAGAGACTCACAGCGACTCACAGAGACTCATAGACACCCATAGAGACCCACAGAGACTCATAGACACCCACAGAGACTCACAGAGAGTCATAGATACCCACAGATACTCACAGAGACCCACAGAGATGCACAGAGGCTTAGAGACCCACAGAGACTCACAGAGAGTCATAGATACTCACAGATACTCACAGAGACTCAGAGCGTCATAGATACCCACAGATACTCACAGAGACCCACAGAGACGCATATATACCCACAGATACTCACAGAGACCCACAGAGAGTCATAGATACTCACAGAGACCCACAGAGACTCATAGACACCCACAGATACTCACAGAGAGTCACAGATACCCACAGATACCCACAGATACTCACAGAGACCCACAGAGACTCACAGAGACCCACAGAGATGCACAGAGGCTTAGAGACCCACAGAGACTCACAGAGAGTCACAGAGACTCACAGAGACTCACAAAGACTCGCAGAGAGTAATCGATACCCACAGATACTCACAGAGACCCACAGAGACTCAGACACCCACAGAGACTCATAGACACCCACAGAGACTCACAGAGGCTTAGAGACCCACAGAGACCTACAGATCCTCACAGAGACCCACAGAGACTCATAGAGACCCACAGAGACTCACAGAGACCCACAGAGCCTCACAGAGACTCACAGAGAGCCTCAGAGAGGCACATAGACTCACAGAGACCCACAGAGACTCACAGAGACTCACAGAGACCCACAGAGACTCATAGACACCCACAGAGACTCACAGAGGCTAAGAGACCCACAGAGACCTACAGATACAGAGACTCACAGAGAGTCATCGATACCCACAGATAATCACAGAGATCCACAGAGACTCATAGAGGCTTAGAGACCCACAAAGACTCACAGAGACTCACAGAGAGTCATAGATACCCACAGAGACTCACAGATACTCACAGAGACCCACAGAAACCCACAGAGACTCATAGACACCCACAGAGACTCACAGAGGCTTAGAGACCCACAGAGACTTACAGAGACTCACAGGGACTCACAGAGACCCACAGAACTCATAGACACCCATAGACACCCGCAGAGACCCACATAGACTCATAGACACCAACAGAGACTCACAGAGGCTTAGAGACCAACAGAGACGCACAGAGACTCACAGCGACTCACAGAGACTCATAGACACCCATAGAGACCCACAGAGACTCATAGACACCCACAGAGACTCACAGAGAGTCATAGATACCCACAGATACTCACAGAGACCCACAGAGGCTTAGAGACCCACAGAGACTCACAGAGAGTCATAGATACTCACAGATACTCACAGAGACTCACAGAGCGTCATAGATACCCACAGATACTCACAGAGACCCACAGAGACGCATATATACCCACAGATACTCACAGAGACCCACAGAGAGTCATAGATACTCACAGAGACCCACAGAGACTCATAGACACCCACAGATACTCACAGAGAGTCACAGATACCCACAGATACCCACAGATACTCACAGAGACCCACAGAGACTCACAGAGACCCACAGAGATGCACAGAGGCTTAGAGACCCACAGAGACTCACAGAGAGTCACAGAGACTCACAGAGACTCACAAAGACTCGCAGAGAGTAATCGATACCCACAGATACTCACAGAGACCCACAGAGACTCAGACACCCACAGAGACTCATAGACACCCACAGAGACTCACAGAGGCTTAGAGACCCACAGAGACCTACAGATCCTCACAGAGACCCACAGAGACTCATAGAGACCCACAGAGACTCACAGAGACCCACAGAGCCTCACAGAGACTCACAGAGAGCCTCAGAGAGGCACATAGACTCACAGAGACCCACAGAGACTCACAGAGACTCACAGAGACCCACAGAGACTCATAGACACCCACAGAGACTCACAGAGGCTAAGAGACCCACAGAGACCTACAGATACAGAGACTCACAGAGAGTCATCGATACCCACAGATAATCACAGAGATCCACAGAGACTCATAGAGGCTTAGAGACCCACAAAGACTCACAGAGACTCACAGAGAGTCATAGATACCCACAGAGACTCACAGATACTCACAGAGACCCACAGAAACCCACAGAGACTCATAGACACCCACAGAGACTCACAGAGGCTTAGAGACCCACAGAGACTTACAGAGACTCACAGGGACTCACAGAGACCCACAGAACTCATAGACACCCATAGACACCCTCAGAGACCCACATAGACTCATAGACACCAACAGAGACTCACAGAGGCTTAGAGACCCACAGAGACGCACAGAGACTCACAGCGACACTGTGTGTGTCTCTGTGTGCGTCTCTGTGTCTGTGTGTGTGTCTCTCTGTCTGTGTCTCTGTGTGACACTGTGTGTGTCTCTGTGTGTGTCTCTGTGTCTGTGTGTGTGTCTCTGTGTGTGTCTCTGTGTGTGTCTCTGTGTGTGTCTCTGTGTGTGTCTCTCTGTCTGTGTCTCTGTGTGTCTCTGTGTGTCTCTGTGTGTGTCTCTGTGTCTCTGTCTGTGTGTGTCTCTGTGTGTCACTGTGTGTCTCTGTGTCACACTGTGTGTCTCTGTGTGTCTCTGTGTGTCTCTGTGTCTCTGCGTGTCTCTGTGTCTCTGTGTGTCTCTGTGTGTGTGTCTCTGTGTGTGTCTCTGTGTGTGTCTCTGTGTGTGTCTGTGTGTCTCTGTGTGTGTCTCTGCGTCTCTATGTGTGTCTCTGTGTGTCTCTGTGTGTGTGACACTCTGTGTCTCTGTCTGTGTGTGTCTCTGTGTGTGTCTCTGTGTGTCACTGTGTGTCTCTGTGTCACACTGTGTGTCTCTGTGTGTCTCTGTGTGTGTGTCTGTGTGTGTGCCTGTGTGTCTCTGTGTGTGTCTCTGTGTCTCTGTGTGTGTCTCTGTGTGTGTGACACACTGTGTGTCTCTGTGTGACACTGTGTGTCTCTGTGTGTGTCTCTGTGTCTGTGTCTCTGTGTGTGTGACACACTGTGTGTCTCTGTCTGACACTGTGTGTCTCTGTGTGTGTCTCTGTGTGTGTCTCTGTGTGTGTCACTGTGTGTCTGTCTCTGTGTGTGTCACACTGTGTCTGTGTCTCTGTGTGTCTCTGTGTGTCTGTGTCTCTGTGTGTCTCTGTGTCTCTCTCTCTGTCTCTCTTCACCCTTTCGCTGCTCCCCGAACCGATGACTTCTTCGTCCCTCAAGTGCCGCTTAAACTTGGGAGGCATTCGCCTCTCCTCCTAACAAACAACAACAGCGTTAGACACTAAACACGCGGCACAACAACAACAACAACCAACCACGGCGTCAGACGTTAAACATAAAGTTTAAATTATTACAAAAAAACAGTTTAATCTACACCCCCCCCGCCCCCCGGGGCTCTAGGCCCAAGCCTACGGTGTCGCCTGAGATGCTCCGCGGGGTTTTCCCTTCGGCTGCTCAGGCGAGGTCGGTCAAAAGCCTTCGTTAGGCCGGTTGAGGGATTTTTGTAAAAAAAAAAGATTAAAACGTTAAAAGTCCCTGTGGAGAAATGTTTTTTTAAAAATTAAACACGCGCGTTTAAGAGACTTGACGTCGTTGTAAAGTGCGACAAAGGGACGAAACGCATTTTCTATTTTTTCATTTTAAACAAAAAAAATTGAAACGTCAACATTAACCCGCCCTGTTTTATACGTTTCACTTCCTGTTTTATGACGTCACTTTTCCGGTGTGGTGACGTCACGTTATTTGTGTTTATTTACACGTGCCGTGACGTAATAATTTGTTGAGTGACGTAATGTTATTTTTAAATATACAGGTGACGTCACGTAGTAGCTTGTTGACTGACGAAACGCATTTTTATTTGCACATGACGTCACGTATTGCTGTGCCAGGCTAGGTGCAGGAGGAGGAGATCACGTGACAGACCCAGCACGTGCCATGGGTTGACTGCTGTGCCAGGCTAGGTGCAGGAGGAGTGTAGTGTATAGTAGTGTAGTATATTGTGTAGTGTATAGTGTAGTGTATAGTGTAGTATATAGTAGTGTATAGTGTAGTGTATAGTAGTGTATAGTAGTGTAGTGTATAGTAGTGTATAGTAGTGTAGTGTATAGTGTAGTATATAGTAGTGTATAGTGTAGTATATAGTAGTGTATAGTAGTGTAGTGTATAGTCTAGTGTATAGTGTAGTATATTGTGTAGTGTATAGTGTAGTGTATAGTGTAGTATATAGTAGTGTATAGTGTAGTGTATAGTAGTGTATAGTAGTGTAGTGTATAGTAGTGTAGTGTATAGTGTATAGTAGTGTAGTGTATAGTAGTGTAGTGTATAGTAGTGTAGTGTATAGTGTAGTGTATAGTAGTGTAGTGTATAGTGTAGTGTATAGTAGTGTAGTGTATAGTGTAGTGTATAGTAGTGTAGTGTATAGTAGTGTATAGTGTAGTGTATAGTAGTGTATAGTGTAGTGTATAGTAGTGTAGTGTATAGTGTAGTGTATAGTAGTGTAGTGTGTATAGTGTACTATATTGTGTAGTGTATAGTAGTGTATAGTGTAGTGTATAGTAGTGTATAGTAGTGTATAGTGTAGTGTATAGTGTAGTGTATAGTAGTGTATAGTAGTGTATAATGTAGTGTATAGTGTGGTGTATAATAGTGTAGTGTATAGTGTATAGTAGTGTAGTGTATAGTAGTGTAGTGTATAGTGTAGTGTATAGTAGTGTAGTGTATAGTGTAGTGTATAGTAGTGTAGTGTATAGTGTAGTGTATAGTAGTGTAGTGTATAGTGTATAGTAGTGTAGTTTTTAGTTATAGTAGTGTAGTGTATAGTGTAGTGTATAGTAGTGTAGTGTGTATAGTGTACTATATTGTGTAGTGTATAGTAGTGTATAGTAGTGTATAGTGTAGTGTATAGTAGTGTAGTGTATAGTGTAGTGTATAGTAGTGTAGTGTATAATGTAGTGTATAGTAGTGTATAGTAGTGTAGTGTATAGTAGTGTATAGTGTAGTGTATAGCAGTGTATAGTGTAATGTATAGTAGTGTAGTGTATAGTAGTGTATAGTATAGTAGTGTATAGTAGTGTATAGTGTAGTGTAGTTATAGTAGTGTATAGTGTAGTGTATAGTAGTGTATAGTAGTGTAGTGTATAGTAGTGTAGTGTATAGTGTAGTGTATAGTGTATAGTAGTGTAGTGTATAGTAGTGTAGTGTATAGTAGTGTAGTGTATAGTGTAGTGTATAGTAGTGTAGTGTATAGTGTAGTGTATAGTAGTGTAGTGTATAGTGTAGTGTATAGTAGTGTAGTGTATAGTGTATAGTAGTGTATAGTGTAGTGTATAGTAGTGTATAGTGTAGTGTATAGTAGTGTAGTGTATAGTGTATAGTAGTGTAGTGTGTATAGTGTACTATATTGTGTAGTGTATAGTAGTGTATAGTGTAGTGTATAGTAGTGTATAGTAGTGTATAGTGTAGTGTATAGTGTAGTGTATAGTAGTGTATAGTAGTGTATAATGTAGTGTATAGTGTGGTGTATAATAGTGTAGTGTATAGTGTATAGTAGTGTAGTGTATAGTAGTGTAGTGTATAGTGTAGTGTATAGTAGTGTAGTGTATAGTAGTGTAGTGTATAGTGTAGTGTATAGTAGTGTAGTGTATAGTGTAGTGTATAGTAGTGTAGTGTATAGTGTATAGTAGTGTAGTTTTTAGTTATAGTAGTGTAGTGTATAGTGTAGTGTATAGTAGTGTAGTGTGTATAGTGTACTATATTGTGTAGTGTATAGTGGTGTATAGTAGTGTATAGTGTAGTGTATAGTAGTGTAGTGTATAGTGTAGTGTATAGTAGTGTAGTGTATAATGTAGTGTATAGTAGTGTATAGTAGTGTAGTGTATAGTAGTGTATAGTGTAGTGTATAGCAGTGTATAGTGTAGTGTATAGTAGTGTAGTGTATAGTAGTGTATAGTATAGTAGTGTATAGTAGTGTATAGTGTAGTGTAGTTATTGTAGTGTATAGTGTAGTGTATAGTAGTGTAGTGTATAGTAGTGTATAGTGTAGTGTATAGTATAGTGTAGTTATTGTAGTGTATAGTAGTGTAGTGTATAGTAGTGTAGTGTATAGTGTAGTGTATAGTAGTGTAGTGTATAGTGTATAGTAGTGTAGTGTGTATAGTGTACTATATTGTGTAGTGTATAGTAGTGTATAGTGTAGTGTATAGTAGTGTATAGTGTAGTGTATAGTAGTGTAGTGTATAGTAGTGTAGTGTGTATAGTGTACTATATTGTGTAGTGTATAGTAGTGTATAGTGTAGTGTATAGTAGTGTATAGTAGTGTATAGTGTAGTGTATAGTGTAGTGTATAGTAGTGTATAGTAGTGTATAATGTAGTGTATAGTGTGGTGTATAATAGTGTAGTGTATAGTGTATAGTAGTGTAGTGTATAGTAGTGTAGTGTATAGTGTAGTGTATAGTAGTGTAGTGTATAGTAGTGTAGTGTATAGTGTAGTGTATAGTAGTGTAGTGTATAGTAGTGTAGTGTATAGTGTAGTGTATAGTAGTGTAGTGTATAGTGTATAGTAGTGTAGTTTTTAGTTATAGTAGTGTATAGTGTAGTGTATAGTAGTGTAGTGTGTATAGTGTACTATATTGTGTAGTGTATAGTAGTGTAGTGTATAGTAGTGTATAGTGTAGTGTATAGCAGTGTATAGTGTAGTGTATAGTAGTGTAGTGTATAGTAGTGTATAGTATAGTAGTGTATAGTAGTGTATAGTGTAGTGTAGTTATTGTAGTGTATAGTGTAGTGTATAGTAGTGTAGTGTATAGTAGTGTATAGTGTAGTGTATAGTATAGTGTAGTTATTGTAGTGTATAGTAGTGTAGTGTATAGTAGTGTAGTGTATAGTGTAGTGTATAGTAGTGTAGTGTATAGTGTAGTGTATAGTAGTGTAGTGTGTATAGTGTACTATATTGTGTAGTGTATAGTAGTGTATAGTAGTGTATAGTGTATAGTAGTGTATAGTGTAGTGTATAGTAGTGTATAGTGTAGTGTATAGTAGTGTAGTGTATAGTGTATAGTAGTGTAGTGTGTATAGTGTACTATATTGTGTAGTGTATAGTAGTGTATAGTGTAGTGTATAGTAGTGTATAGTAGTGTATAGTGTAGTGTATAGTGTAGTGTATAGTAGTGTATAGTAGTGTATAATGTAGTGTATAGTGTGGTGTATAATAGTGTAGTGTATAGTAGTGTAGTGTATAGTAGTGTAGTGTATAGTAGTGTAGTGTATAGTAGTGTAGTGTATAGTGTAGTGTATAGTAGTGTAGTGTATAGTAGTGTAGTGTATAGTGTAGTGTATAGTAGTGTAGTGTATAGTAGTGTAGTTTTTAGTTATAGTAGTGTAGTGTATAGTGTAGTGTATAGTAGTGTAGTGTGTATAGTGTACTATATTGTGTAGTGTATAGTAGTGTATAGTAGTGTATAGTGTAGTGTATAGTAGTGTAGTGTATAGTAGTGTAGTGTAGTGTATAGTAGTGTAGTGTATAATGTAGTGTATAGTAGTGTATAGTAGTGTAGTGTATAGTAGTGTATAGTGTAGTGTATAGCAGTGTATAGTGTAGTGTATAGTAGTGTAGTGTATAGTAGTGTATAGTATAGTAGTGTATAGTAGTGTATAGTGTAGTGTAGTTATTGTAGTGGATAGTGTAGTGTATAGTAGTGTAGTGTATAGTAGTGTATAGTGTAGTGTATAGTATAGTGTAGTTATTGTAGTGTATAGTAGTGTAGTGTATAGTAGTGTAGTGTATAGTGTAGTGTATAGTAGTGTAGTGTATAGTGTAGTGTATAGTAGTGTAGTGTGTATAGTGTACTATATTGTGTAGTGTATAGTAGTGTATAGTGTAGTGTATAGTAGTGTAGTGCATAGTGTAGCGTAGCGTGTTGTACGCAGGCACACACTGCGGTTGGAGGCAACAACGCGTTTATTGAACAGCTTCCCAACAAGCGTCACCCAAACCCTCCCTTGCTTCAGCATCCCAGCGGCGACTCCACACGCACCCCCGGTTTCGTGCCTTCCAGGAACTTTACCCCGAGTTAGACAACGAGGCGTGGGGTTCCAGCGGCGGCTTCAAGACGAGCCACCTGCAGCACGCCGGTTTACTGTGGGGGAGGCAGACGCACGGCGTGGCGTGGTGTGGCGTGGTGTGGTGTGGCGTGGTGTGACGTGGTGTGGTGTGACGTGGCGTGGCGTGGTGTGGAGTGGTGTGGTGTGGAGTGGTGTGGTGTGGAGTGGTGTGGTGTGACGTGGTGTGGTGTGGGCGTGGTGTGGTGTGACGTGGTGTGGTGTGACGTGGTGTGGTGTGGTGTGGCGTGGTGTGGAGTGGTGTGGTGTGGAGTGGTGTGGTGTGACGTGGTGTGGTGTGGGCGTGGTGTGGTGTGACGTGGTGTGGTGTGGTGTGGCGTGGTGTGGTGTGGTGGGCTCGCGCCCGGCCTGACCCACCCCGTGCCGTGTGCAGGGACCACCCACCAGGACCACCACCATCACCCACCCACCATCCACCACCACCCACCACCACCACCATCACCCCCCCTACCACTACCACCCACCAGGGCCACCCCACCACCACCATCACCCACCACCACCACCACCTCCCCACCACCACCCACCAGGACCACCCACCACCACCATCCCACCACCACCGTGTGTCTCTGTGTGTCTCTGTGTGCGTCTCTGTGTGTCTTTGTGTGTGTCTCTGTGGGTCTCTGTGTGTGTCTCTGTGTGTCTCTGTGTGTGTCTCTGTGGGTCTCTGTGTGTCTCTGTGTGTGTCTCTGTGGGTCTCTGTGTGTCACTGTGTCTCTGTGTGTCTCTGTGTGTGTCTCTGTGTCTCTGTGTGTCTCTGTGTGTCTTTGTGTGTCTCTGTCGGTCTCTGTGGGTCTCTGTGGGTCTCTGTGGGTCTCTGTGTATCTCTGTGTCTCTGTGTCTCTCTGTGGGTCTCTGTGTGTCTGTGTGTGTGTCTCTGTGTGTCTCTGTGTGTGTCTCTGTGTCTCTGTGGGTCTCTGTGTGTCTTTGTGTGTCTCTGTGCGTTTCTGTGGGTCTCTGTGTCTCTGTGAGTCTCTGTGGGTCTCTGTGGGTCTCTGTGTTTCTCTGTGTGTGTCTCTGTGGGTCTCTGTGTGTCTCTGTGGGTCTCTGTGTGTCACTGTGTCTCTGTGTGTCTCTGTGTGTGTCTCTGTGTCTCTGTGTGTCTCTGTGTGTCTTTGTGTGTCTCTGTCGGTCTCTGTGGGTCTCTGTGGGTCTCTGTGTATCTCTGTGTCTCTGTGTCTCTCTGTGGGTCTCTGTGTGTCTGTGTGTGTGTCTCTGTGGGTCTCTGTGGGTCTCTATGTGTCTTTGTGGGTCTCTGTGGGTCTCTGTGTGTCTCTCTGGGTCTCTGTATGTCTATGTGGGTCTCTGTGGGTCTCTGTGGGTCTCTGTGTGTCTCTGTGTGTCTCTGTGTGTGTCTCTGTGGGTCTCTGTGTGTCTCTGTGGGTATCTGTGTGTCACTGTGTCTCTGTATGTCTCTGTGTGTGTCTCTGTGTCTCTGTGGGTCTCTGTGTGTCTTTGTGTGTCTCTGTGCGTTTCTGTGTGTCTCTGTCGGTCTCTGTGAGTCTCTGTGGGTCTCTGTGTGTCTCTGTGGGTCTCTGTGTGTCTCAGTGTGGGTCTCTGTGAGTCTCTGTGGGTCTCTGTGTGTCTCTGTGGGTCTCTGTGTGTCTCTGTGGGTCTCTGTATGTCTCTGTGGGTCTCTGTGGGTCTCTGTGGGTCTCTGTGTGTCTCTGTGTGTGTCTCTGTGGGTCTCTGTGTGTCTCTGTGGGTCTCTGTGTGTCACTGTGTCTCTGTATGTCTCTGTGTGTGTCTCTGTGTCTCTGTGTGTCTCTGTGTGTTTTTGTGTGTCTCTGTGCGTTTCTGTGGGTCTCTGTGTCTCTGTGGGTCTCTGTGTGTCTCTGTGGGTCTCTGTGGGTCTCTGTGGGTCTCTATGTGTCTTTGTGGGTCTCTGTGGGTCTCTGTGTCTCTGTGTGTCTCTGTGGGTCTCTGTGGGTCTCTGTGGGTCTCTGTGAGTCTCTGTGTGTGTCTCTGTGGGTCTCTGTGGGTCTCTGTGTATCTCTGTGTCTCTGTGTGTCTCTGTGGGTCTCTGTGTGTCTGTGTGTGTGTCTCTGTGGGTCTCTGTGGGTCTCTGTGGGTCTCTATGTGTCTCTGTGTGTTTCTGTGTATCTGTGTACTTAGATTATTTGGCTGATTTACAGTCCTAGATGATGCTGGTGATGACATCAGCCACTTGGTTGAGCTGCTACCATCACCACCATCATCACCATCACCACCATCATCACCACCATCACCACCATCACCATCACCACCATCACTACCATCATCACCACCATCATCACCACCATCACCACCATCATCACCATCATTACCACCACCATCATCATCACCACCATCACCACCACCATCACCACCATCATCACCATCATCACCACCATCACCACCACCATCACCACCACCACCACCATCATCACCACCATCACCACCACCACCACCACCATCATCACCACCATCACCACCACCACCACCACCATCACCACCACCATCACCACCATCATCACCACCATCATCACCACCATCACCACCATCATCACCACCATCATCACCACCATCATCACCACCATCATCACCACCATCACCACCATCACCACCATCACCATCACCACCATCACCATCACCACCACCACCATCATCACCATCACCACCACCATCACCACCACCATCACCACCACCATCACCACCATCACCACCATCACCATCACCACCATCACCACCACCATCACCACCATCACCACCACCATCACCACCATCACCACCATCATCATCACCACCATCACCACCACCATCTCCACCACCACCATCACCACCATCACCACCACCACCATCACCACCATCATCATCACAATCATCACCACCACCACCACCATCACCACCACCACCATCACAGCATCCCGCGTTCCTATTGGCTGGCTCTGAGAGCCTCGTCGGCCAATGAGATCTTCTCGTCCAGTTGCTGTGGAGACCGGAGGAGCTGCCGCAGTGCATCGTGGGGGATTTCCAGCAGCATTCCTGAGGGTGACATCAGCAGCAGCATCATCAGCAGTAGAATCATCATCATCAGCAGCATCATCATCAGCAGCATCATCATCAGCATCATCATCAGCATCATCATCAGCATCATCATCAGCAGCATCATCATCAACAGCATCATCAGCAGTATAATCATCATCAGCAGCAGCATCATCATCATCAGCAGCATCAGCATCAGCAGTAGAATCATCAGCAGCAGCATCATCATCATCAGCGTCATCATCAGCAGTAGAATCATCATCATCAGCATCATCATCATCAGCAGTAGAATCATCATCAGCAGCATCATCAGCGTCATCATCAGCAGCATCATCAGCGTCATCATCAGCAGCATCATCAGCGTCATCATCAGCAGTAGAATAATCATCAGCAGTAGAATAATCATCAGCAGCATCATCAGCGTCATCATCAGCAGTAGAATCATCATCAGCAGCATCATCAGCAGTAGAATCATCAGCAGCAGCATTATCAGCAGTAGTAGAATCATCATCAGCATCATCATCAGCAGCAGCAGCAGTAGAATCATCATCAGCAGCATCATCAGCAGTAGAATCATCATCAGCAGCATCATCAGCAGTAGACTCATCAGCAACAGCATCATCAGCAGCATCAGCAGCGTCATCATCAGCGTCATCATCATCATCAGCGTCATCATCAGCATATCATCATCTGCAGCATCATCAGCGTCATCATCAGCAGTAGAATCATCAGCAGCATCATCAGCAGCATCATCAGCGTCATCATCATCAGCAGCATCATCATCAGCGTCATCATCAGTAGTCGAATCATCATCAGCATCATCAGCGTCATCAGTAGTCGAATCATCATCAGCAGCATCATCAGCAGTAGAATCATCATCAGCAGCATCATCAGCAGTAGAATCACCAGTAGAATCATCATCAGCAGCATCGTCAGCCTCATCATCACCAGTAGAATCATCATCAGCAGCATCATCATCAGCAGCATCATCATCAGCAGAAGAATCATCATCAGCAGTATAATCATCAATATCATCAGCAGCAGCATCAGTAGCATCATCAGCAGCAGGAGAATCATCATCAACAGCATCATCATCAGCAGTAGAATCATCAGCAGCAGCATCATCATCAGCATCATCATCATCAGCAGTAGAATCATCAGCGTATCATTATCATCAGCAGCATCATCAGCATCATCAGCAGCATCATCAGCATCATCATCAGCAGCATCATCATCAGCAGCAGTAGAATCATCATCAGCATCATCATCAGGAGCATCATCATCATCAGCAGCAGTAGAATCATCATCAGTATCATCATCAGGAGTAGCATCATCATCAACAGTAGAATCATCATCAGCATCATCATCAGGAGCAGCATCATCATCAGCAGCAGTAGAATCATCATCAGCATCATCATCAGCATCATCATCAGCAGCAGTAGAATCATCATCAGGCTTGTCATCATCATTACCATCATCACCATCACCACCACCATCACCACCACCACCATCACCACCATCACCATCACCACCACCACCATCACCACCATCACCACCATCACCATCACTACCATCACCAGCACCACCACCACCACCATTACCACCACCACTACCACCATCACCATCAACAACAACCGCCATTCGCCACTAAGTGGCGGTGACGTCACCACGACGCTTGTGCCAGGCTATGTGCACCGTGAGGCCACGTGAAGTGTCGAACGCCCGCTGGCAGGAGGTCACTGGGCAGACCCAGGTGCCACGGGTCGACTGACTGAGATGACTGGCTGATGCACCACCTGTGCCCCTACTGTGCCAAACTGCTGTGCTTTAGCCACCCGGCGCTCCGCTCGTTGTTGTGAGCGTTGCTCCTCCGCCCTCCGTTGTTGTTGGAGGGCGACTGCCTCCAACTGCCCAGTAGCATCCTTCACGAGCCTCCTCCACAGAGGCCGATCTTGACACCGCTGGTACCAGTCATCGGCAAGTCCACTCAGCTCCACGTCCTCCTGTACCACATCACTCCATCTCTTCTCTAGCCCGTGCCGCGCCCGCTTAGCCCCCTCAATCCGGCCAAACAAAAGCTGTTTCGGCATGCGGTGGCTGGGCATGTGGGCTACATGACCCAGCCATCGCAGCCTTGCCTGCCGGTGGAGCTCACCGATGGGACCCTGCCCAGATCTTTCAAGGATTTGTGAGCTCCTCACACAATCCAGTCTGGTTAAACCCAGGATGGATCGTAGGCAGGCCAGCCTAAATGTTTCTAACCGGCGAAGATGTTCCATTAGGGGGGTCCACGTTTCGCAAGCGTAGAGAAGGGAGGGAATGACCGTGGCCGAGAAGACCTGAAGCTTAGTGCGGAGCGACAGACCAGGTAGCTTCCACACAGCGTTACGCAACCGATGAAAAGATATTGCCGCTCGACTGATTCGGAGTGAGACCTCTGCTGTTAAACTGGAGCCAGTCATAAGCACACTGCCCAGGTATGGGAAACTCTCCACTCTCTCCACAACTGCCCCATCACCGATTGGGAGTTGTGGGGGTGGAGTGTCCGATGGTACAAAATACCCAGGCAGGTGCTTAGTTTTGGTGGGGCTGATGGTAAGGCCCCACCTCTTAGTGGCACGCTCCAGTCTCAGCAGCAGCGTCTCCAACTCCTCCTCTGACTGAGCAGCTATTACCAAATCATCAGCATACATAACGTGGTTGAGCAATAGGGAGCCATCCCTTGACCGCACCCGGGCATCGATTAGCCTCCCATTATATCTGTACCATATGGAGATTCCCCCGGTACAGCTATTGAAGGCTTCACGAACTACGTGGTCAAAATAGATGTTAAATAATGTGGGAGCCAGAGGACATCCCTGTCGCACCCCAAGGTGTACAGGGAATGGCTCTGACTCCCGGCCACGTAGTTTTACCCGGGCCCGTTCACCATCATGAAGGTCCTTAATGATCGTGAGCAGAGGGTCAGGTACTCCAAAAGCACGAAGAACGACCCAGAGCCCAGGCCTACTGATGGTATCATAGGCCTTGACCAGGTCAATAAAGCAGAGATGTAGGTCTTGTTGGAATTCCCTACACCTCTGCTGTAGCAGACGGACAGAAAATATGGCATCTGTGCAGGACCGCCCTTTCCTGAAACCGCATTGGGGCTCCGCAAGCCTCTCCTCAGCGTGCCTGGCAAGGCGATGCTGAATAATCCTTGCCAGGACCTTTCCCGGCACACTGAGGAGTGAGATGCCCCTGTAGTTGTTACAGTCTGTGCGGTCCCCCTTCTTAAAAAGGGGGACCACCAGGGCATCCTTCCAATCCTGCGGAACCCGTCCAGTGGTCCAGACTGTTGTTATGATGTCATATAGGGCAGTCTGTGCACAAACGCCACCCTCCCTCAGCATTTCGCTTGGGAGATCATCTCTGCCCGCTGCCTTTCCTGGTCTCAGACTCCAGATCGCCTTCAATACTTCCTCAGCAGATGGCACCTCAGCCAGCCACTCACAGGGGGTGACTTCTTCCAATATTTGAGGCACCGCAGCCTCAGCAGGGTCATCCTCACTTTGTGCCACGATGTTTTCCTGGCTGAGGGATTTTCCCTCCCCCAGGACCTCACAGAAATGCTCAGCAAATCTGCGAACCTGTTCCTGGGGGTCGGAGATTGGATCACCGTTTTTTCCCCTAATGATGGTAATAGGTGTGGCGCTGCAGGTTACTTTTTTGATGGAGTTAAATAGAGATTTGTGATCACGGGCCACTGAGGCAGACTCCATCTCCTCAGCAACCCGCGACCACCACCCATCCTTGCAGCGCCTCACGGCTCTCCGAACCTCCGAGCGAAGGCTGCGGTAAGCCTCCTCATTCTCTAACGTGGGATTCTGTAGCCGATGACAGTGGGCCTGTCGCTTTTTCTCAACCATCCTGAACACCTCCTCTGTCAGCCACGGTCTCTGGGGAGGTCTGGACCGCGTACCCAAAGCAGCCATTGGAGCTGCATGAGTCACAGTCCTAAACCTCGCCCATTTACCCTCGACATCAGGAGGAGTCGGAGACGATGCCAATCCCAGCCGCAAGCGATGATGAAATTCTCGCTTGCAACTTTCATCAGATAACTGAGACCAGGCCACTTTATGTTGGAATGGGGTCCTAGGTGTACACCCACCACTGGAGTGGAAGAATGGCAGGCGCATCTTACAGATGACTAGTCGATGGTCAGAGGGCAGATCAGCTCCACGGTAGGTCCTGGTGTCAAGGACATGGGCTCGCATTCGCTGGTCCGTCACTATGTAGTCCAGCAGATGTTCTTGCTTGGACCCGGCATGCATCCATGCTGTTGTGTGGATGCGCCGATGCCGGAACAGCGTGTTGGTAATTACAAGCCCATGGGCTGCACAAAAATCTAGCAGCCTCCTACCGTTGTTATTGAGCTGATCTGGCCCATGCCCTCCAATCACTCCAGACCAGGTGCCAGTATCATGACCAACTCGGGCATTGAAGTCACCCAACATGATGACTCTATCCCGAGGGGCCACTTTAGCCAGCACCTGTGACAGGAGGTCATAGAAGGCATCTGACTCATCGGCTTTGCCTGCATCCCTCCACGGATGTTCATCTTCGGTGGGGGCATAAGTAACCACGACCACCATTCCTCGCCTCCGGTTGATGGGAAGGCGAGCCCAAAGTAGCCTGGGGCTTACAGCTTCCCACACCTCACCGCCACGCTCCCACGCCCCCTTCATTCTTTTGTTCAAAAGAAGACCCACACCCTGTTGTTTGGCAGTCTGCTGCCCCGAGTAGAGGACTGTCCACCCCTCATGGTGGCAGGAGCCAGAGCCGGTCCACCGGACCTCCTGAATGCCGCATAGATCCTGGCTTTTCGTTGTTTCTGGAGTAGCCCCGAGGGTAGGTATTCAATCTCCTGGCTCCGCCAATTGGGGTTTGGCCAGGAGACGTCATAGACGCCTGGCCCCCCGGGGCCTCCATCACCACCATCACCACCGTCACCACCATCACCATCACTACCATCATCACCACCACCATCACCACCACCATCACCACCACCATCACCACCACCACTACCACCACCACCACCATCACCACCACCATCACCACCATCACCACCACCACCATCACCACCATCACCACCACCACCATCACCACCACCACCACCATCACCACCACCACCATCACCACCACCATCACCATCACCTGTGATGACATCGGCAGTCTTTGCTCTCCCGGACGCCACGAGGTATCTGTAGAGTTGCTCGCCCAGCTCATCATCATCACCGCCATCACCACCACCACAATCACCACCATCACCATCACCACCATCACCACCATCACCATCATCCTGCTGCTGCTGCTGCAGCTGCTGCTGATGTTGCTTGAGAGCCTCTTGAGCCTTAGAGACCATAGCCTTGAGTACGTGATGGCTATGATCACCATCACCACCATCACCGCCGGCCAGGAGTTTCAGAGTATCCATGTCCAGCTCCAGGAGCATTCCTAGCGGGGAGTGGGGCAAGTGGCGTTAGTAGCGAGTAGCAGCAGCAGTGTCTATGTACTACACACACCACACACACAGACAAAGCTACCCCAGGTAGCCTCTAGCAGGGCTGTAGGGGCAAGTGGTGTTAGCTAGCGAGTATCAGCAGCAGTGTCTATGTACTACACACACCACACACAGACAAAGCTCCCCCAGGTAGCCTCTAGCAGGGCTGTAGGGGCAAGTGCTGTTAGTAGCGAGTAGCAGCAGCAGTGTCTATGTACTACACACACCACACACAGACAAAGCTACCCCAGGTAGCCTCTAGCAGGGCTGTAGGGGCAAGTGCTGTTAGTAGCGAGTAGCAGCAGCAGTGTCTATGTACTACACACACCACACACACAGACAAAGCTCCCCCAGGTAGCCTCTAGCAGGGCTGTAGGGGCAAGTGCTGTTAGTAGCGAGTAGTAGCAGCAGTGTCTATGTACTACACACACCACACACACAGACAAAGCTCCCCCAGGTAGCCTCTAGCAGGGCTGCAGGGGCAAGTGCTGTTAGTAGCGAGTAGCAGCAGCAGTGTCTATGTACTACACACACCACACACACAGACAAAGCTACCCCCAGGTAGCCTCTAGCAGGGCTGTAGGGGCAAGTGCTGTTAGCTAGCGAGTAGCAGCAGCAGTGTCTATGTACTACACACACCACACACACAGACAAAGCTCCCCCAGGTAGCCTCTAGCAGGGCTGTAGGGGCAAGTGCTATTAGTATCGAGTAGCAGCAGCAGTGTCTATGTACTACACACACCACACACACAGACAAAGCTCCCCCAGGTAGCCTCTAGCAGGGCTGCAGGGGCAAGTGGTGTTAGTAGCGAGTATCAGCAGCAGTGTCTATGTACTACACACACCACACACACAGACAAAGCTCTCCCAGATAGCCTCTAGCAGGGTTGTAGGGGCAAGTGGTGTTAGTAGCGAGTAGCAGCAGCAGTGTCTATGTACTACACACGCCACACACACAGACAAAGCTCCCCCAGGTAGCCTCTAGCAGGGCTGTTGGGGCAAGTGCTGTTGGTAGCGAGTAGCAGCAGCAGTGTCTATGTACTACACACACCACACACACAGACAAAGCTCCCCCAGGTAGCCTCTAGCAGGGCTGTAGGGGCAAGTGCTGTTAGTAGCGAGTAGCAGCAGCAGTGTCTATGTACTACACACACCACACACAGACAAAGCTACCCCAGGTAGCCTCTAGCAGGGCTGTAGGGGCAAGTGCCGTTGGCTAGCGAGTAGCAGAGCTACCTATGAAGGCTACCGGCACTGTGGCCAGCACCACGCCCGGCCGCCTTTGTCTCTCCCCGAGTCGCGATGCTGACGACTAGCACCACACACCACCGCAGCAGGTACTCATTTTGAGGCCGAGTGGATCTAGGGGAGGGCCCGCCCACCGCGAGAGTCACCGGTGATGCGGGAGCAGTTGTCCGGGCATAGTTTCTCAACTCGGGGATAGAGAAGCTCTCCAAGCCTGTCTCTCTCTCTCCAGAACCTGCACGGACACAGAGTGAGGCAGACACAGACAGAGAAAGACACGCGCAGATAAACACACATAGACACACAGACACAACAACAACAACAACAACCGCCATTCACCACTAAGTGGCGGTGACGTCACCACGACGCTTGTGCCAGGCCATGTGCACATTGAGGCTACCACGTGAAGTGTCGAACGCCCGCTGGCAGGAGGTCACTGGACAGACCCACCAGGTGCCACGGGTCGACTGACTGAGATGACTGGCTGATGCACCACCTGTGCCCCCTACTGTGCCAACCCGCTGTGCTTTAGCCACCCGGCGCTCCGCTCGTTGTTGTGAGCGTCGCTCCTCCGCCCTCCGTTGTTGTTGGAGGGCGACTGCCTCCAACTGCCCAGTAGCGTCCTTCACGAGCCTCCTCCACAGAGGCCGATCTTGACACCGCTGGTACCAGTCATCGGCAAGTCCACTCAGCTCCACGTCCTCCTATACCACATCACTCCATCTCTTCTCTAGCCCGTGCCGCGTCCGTTTAGCCCCCTCGATCCGGCCGAACAAAAGCTGTTTCGGCATGCGGTGGCTGGGCATGCGGGCTACATGACCCAGCCAACGCAGCCTTGCCTGCCGGAGGAGCTCACCGATGGGACCTTGCCCAGATCTTTCAAGGATTTGTGAGCTCCTCACACAATCCAGCCTGGTTAAACCCAGGATGTATCGTAGGCAGTGCCCAGCCTGAATGTTTCTAACCGTCGAAGATGTTCCATTAGGGGGGCCCACGTTTCGCAAGCGTAGAGAAGGGAGGGAATGACCGTGGCCGAGAAGACCTGAAGCTTAGTGCGGAGCGACAGACCAGGTAGCTTCCACACAGCGTTACGCAACCGATGAAAATATATTGCCGCTCGACTGATTCGGAGTGAGACCTCTGCTGTTAAACTGGAGCCAGTCATAAGCACACTGCCCAGGTATGGGAAACTCTCCTATGGGAGACTTTAACATTGGAGTCTATGGGAGACTTTAACATTGGAGTCTATGGGTAGACACTTTAACATTGGAGTCTGTGGGAGACTTTAACATTGGAGTCTGTGGGAGACTTTAACATTGGAGTCTATGGGAGACTTTAACATTGGAGTCTTTGGGAGACTTTAACATAGGAGTCTATGGGAGACTTTAACATTGGAGTCTATGGGAGACTTTAACATAGGAGTCTATGGGAGACTTTAACATTGGAGTCTATGGGAGACTTTAACATAGGAGTCTATGGGAGACTTTAACATAGGAGTCTATGGGAGACTTTAACATTGGAGTCTATGGGAGACTTTAACATAGGAGTTTATGGGAGACTTTAACATTGGAGTCTATGGGTAGAGACTTTAACATTGGAGTCTGTGGGAGACTTTAACATTGGAGTCTGTGGGAGACATTAACATTGCAGTCTATGGGAGACTTTAACATTGGAGTCTATGGAGACTTTAACATTGGAGTCTATGGAGACTTTAACATAGGAGTCTATGGGAGACTTTAACATAGGAGTCTATGGGAGACTTTAACATTGGAGTCTATGAGAGACTTTAACATTGGAGTCTATGGGAGACTTTAACATTGGAGTCTATGGGTAGAGACTTTAACATTGGAGTCTGTGGGAGACTTAAACATTGGAGTCTGTGGGAGACTTTAACATTGAGTCTATGGGAGACTTTAACATTGGAGTTTATGGGAGACTTTTACATTGGAGTCTATGGGAGACTTTAACATTGGAGTCTATGGAGACTTTAACATTGGAGTCTATGGAGACTTTAACATAGGAGTCTATGGGAGACTTTAACATAGGAGTCTATGGGAGACTTTAACATTGGAGTCTATGAGAGACTTTAACATTGGAGTCTATGGGAGACTTTAACATTGGAGTCTATGGGTAGAGACTTTAACATTGGAGTCTGTGGGAGACTTAAACATTGGAGTCTATGGGAGACTTTAACATTGGAGTCTATGGGTAGAGACTTTAACATTGGAGTCTGTGGGAGACTTTAACATTGGAGTCTGTGGGAGACTTTAACATTGGAGTCTATGAGAGACTTTAACATTGGCGTCTTTGGGAGAGTTTAACATTGGAGACTATGGGAGACTTTAACATTGGAGTCTATGGGAGACTTTAACATTGGAGTCTATGGGAGACTTTAACATTGGAGTCTATGGGAGACTTTAACATTGGAGTCTATAAGAGACTTTAACATTTGAGTCTATGTGAGACTTTAACATTGGAGTCTGTGGGAGACTTTAACATTGGAGTCTATGGGAGACTTTAACATTGGAGTCTATGGGACACTTTAACATTGGAGTCTATGGGAGACTTTAACATAGGAGCCTATGGGAGACTTTAACATTGGAGTCTATGGGAGACTTTAACATTGGAGTCTATGGGAGACTTTAACATTGGAGTCTATGGGAGACTTTAACATAGGAGCCTATGGGAGACTTTAACATTGGAGTCTATGGGAGACTTTAACATTGGAGTCTATGGGAGACTTTAACATTGGTGTCTATGGGAGACTTTAACATTGAAGTCTATGGGAGACTTTAACATTGGAGTCTATGGGAGACTTTAACATTGGTGTCTATGGGAGACTTTAACATTGGAGTCAATGGGAGACTTTAACATTGGAGTCTATGGGAGACTTTAACATCGGAGTCTATGGGAGACTTTAACATTGGAGTCTATGGGAGACTGTAACATTGGAGTCTATCGGATACTTTAACATTGGCGTCTATGGGTAGAGACTTTACATTGGAGTCTATGGGTAGAGACTCTAACATTGGAGTCTATGGGTAGAGACTTTAACATTGGAGTCTATGGGTAGAGACTTTAACATTGGAGTCTATGGGTAGAGACTTTAACATTGGAGTCTATGGGTAGAGACTTTAACATTGCAGTCTATGGGTAGAGACTTTAACATTGAAGTCTATGGGTAGAGACTTTAACATTGGAGCCTATGGGAGACTTTAACATTGAAGTCTATGGGTAGAGACTTTAACATTGGAGCCTATGGGAGACTTTAACATTGGAGTCTATGGGTAGAGACTTTAACATTGGAGTCTATGGGTAGAGACTTTAACATTGGAGTCTATGGGAGACTTTAACATTGGAGCCTATGGGAGACTTTAACATTGGAGCCTATGGGTAGAGACTTTAACATTGGAGTCTATGGGTAGAGACTTTAACATTGGAGTCTATGGGAGACTTTAACATTGGAGTCTATGGGAGAATTTAACATTGGAGCCTATGGGAGACTTTAACATTGGAGTCTATGGGTAGAGACTTTAACATTGGAGTCTATGGGAGACTTTAACATTGGAGTCTATGGGTAGAGACTTTAACATTGGAGACTATAGGTAGAGACTTTAACATGGAGTCTATGGGTAGAGACTTTAACATTGGAGTCTATGGGAGACTTTAACATTGGAGTCTATGGGAGACTTTAACATTGGAGTCTATGGGTAGAGACTTTAACATTGGAGTCTATGGGAGACTTTAACATTGGAGTCTATGGGTAGATACTTTAACATTGGAGCCTATGGGAGACTTTAACATTGGAGTCTATGGGTAGAGACTTTAACATTGGAGTCTATGGGAGACTTTAACATTGGAGTCTATGGGTAGAGACTTTAACATTGGAGTCTATGGGAGACTTTAACATTGGAGCCTATGGGAGACTTTAACATTGGAGCCTATGGGTAGAGACTTTAACATTGGAGTCTATGGGTAGAGACTTTAACATTGGAGTCTATGGGTAGAGACTTTAACATTGGAGTCTATGGGTAGAGACTTTAACATTGGAGTCTATGGGTAGAGACTTTAACATTGGAGTCTATGGGTAGAGACTTTAACATTGGAGTCTATGGGTAGAGACTTTAACATTGGAGTCTATGGGTAGAGACTTTAACATTGGCGTCTATGGGTAGAGACTTTAACATTGGAGTCTATGGGTAGAGACTTTAACATTGGAGTCTATGGGTAGAGACTTTAACATTGCAGTCTATGGGTAGAGACTTTAACATTGAAGTCTATGGGTAGAGACTTTAACATTGGAGCCTATGGGAGACTTTAACATTGGAGTCTATGGGTAGAGACTTTAACATTGGAGTCTATGGGTAGAGACGTTAACATTGGAGTCTATGGGTAGAGACTTTAACATTGGAGTCTATGGGTAGAGACTTTAACATTGGAGTCTATGGGTAGAGACTTTAACATTGGAGTCTATGGGTAGAGACTTTAACATTGGAGTCTATGGGTAGAGACTTTAACATTGGAGCCTGTGGGTATAGACTTTAACATTGGAGTCTTTGGGTAGAGACTTTAACGTTGGAGCCTATGGGAGACTTTAACATTGGAGCCTATAGGTAGAGACTTTAACATTGGAGTCTATGGGTAGAAACTTTAACATTGGAGTCTATGGGAGACTTTAACATTGGAGTCTATGGGTAGATACTTTAACATTGGAGCCTATGGGAGACTTTAATATTGGAGTCTATGGGTAGAGACTTTAACATTGGAGTCTATGGGAGACTTTAACATTGGAGTCTATGGGTAGAGACTTTAACATTGGAGTCTATGGGAGACTTTAACATTGGAGCCTATGGGAGACTTTAACATTGGAGCCTATGGGTAGAGACTTTAACATTGGAGTCTATGGGTAGAGACTTTAACATTGGAGTCTATGGGTAGAGACTTTAACATTGGAGGCTATGGGTAGAGACTTTAACATTGGAGTCTATGGGAGACTTTAACATTGGAGTCTATGGGTAGAGACTTTAACATTGGAGTCTATGGGTAGAGACTTTAACATTGGAGTCTATGGGTAGAGACTTTAACATTGGAGTCTATGGGTAGAGACTTTAACATTGGAGTCTATGGGTAGAGACTTTAAAATTGGAGTCTATGGGTAGAGACTTTAACATTGCAGTCTATGGGTAGAGACTTTAACATTGAAGTCTATGGGTAGAGACTTTAACATTGGAGCCT